AACCCACCCAAGGAAGGGCTGGGGGAAGGCACAGGGAACAGCCAGTGCAAAGGGCCTGAGGCAGCGAAGAGTTGGGAGTGCTCAAACAAAAGACAACAAAAGACAGGGTGACTGGGCTGAGGCCAGGGCATGAGCCTGGGGGTCAGAGAAGGATGCCAGATGGGACCCGAGAGGTGGCACAGCTTTATAGACGTGGGGGAGGAGGTTGGTGTCGGGCCAAGTGTGTCAAGCTGGTGGGTGCGAGACTGACTTAGATTTCTGGAATTCCTCCGGATGCTCAGACCGGAGTGTCAGCGTCAGGAGGAGAAGCAGAGAGACCTGATAGGAGGTGATCTGGTCAGCCAGGTGAGAGATGATGGCGCTCGGACTGGGATTGTGTGAGCTGTGTTACTTCCTAAGCCTGAGCAAGAATCCAAACTGAGCCTCATTCCTGTGTAAATATTTCAAGCATGTGATTAAAGCTACAGCTTTAATCACATGAATGTGTGTCCTACAGGTACACCTCTGCACCCACCCGGAAGGCTCTGGTGCAGAATCGGGCACCTCCTGCAGTTCAGTGCTGCTTCCTCCTCCTCTTCCCAACCTGGTGTCGCCCTGCACTGCAGGAGGTCTTGTCCACACCCCTGGACGCCCCAGGTCCCCTGTGTGTTCAAGCCACACGCAAGGACCTAGGGACGCACACACTGGACAACATCTCAAGACAAGAGCCAAATTTAGGTCACACAGAAGTGCCCTGCCTCCCGCTCCCAGGGGAGGTGGCTGCACAGTCTCCTCCTGGCCCAGCCACTGAGGGCCTGGCCAGCAGGGGCTGTGGCCAGCTCAGGTTTCAGAGTGCTCTTGTGGCTTTTGTTACCTAGACACTGCAGAAGGACTTTCGTGCTCCGCCTGCAAATAAATGAGTACTCACACCACCCTCTAGAACTACCCAGAGCCCTCCCTCTGGGTGGCCGGCGCTGACCACTGGCTGATGAAAGCTGCCTTCCCAGCGACTGTCTCTGGCCTGGAACATCGCCCCTGCTCCGCCACCTGGTGGCCAGAAGTGAAAACGCGCCTCACCAAGAGGAGACCCTTCGGAAACTCCATCTGGGATGGCTGTGTCAAGCCCGGCTGTGCTTGCATGCTCCCAGGGTCCCAGTGAGCAGGAAGAGGGGTCATCCAGCAGGGGGAGGTGAGATTTTCTCAGAAAGGCGAGGACATTTTGCTTTCAAGCAAAATGGTTTTTCATTTGCCAGGACAGTTTGCTTTTTCATTTTGCGAGGACATGTTGCTTTCCTTGCTTTCAAGATGTGGGTGAATTCTGTCCGTCTGGATGAGAGAGCAGTTTCCTGGCTTCTCTTCCCAAAAGACACAGGAAGGGTGAGTGGGTCAGTCTCAGCCAAGGTGACAGCTCCTGGCGGGGGCGAAAGGGTGCGCCAGGGAGATGCGAGTCCCTCCAGAGGGTGTGCTGACCGGGAGGAGTCTTCCCAGTGGGACGCCCTGTGAAGGGCCCCCTTGGGTGGTCCCCCGTGCTTGTCACTGCAGCGCACAGCTGTGGGGTCTGCCTTCAGTTTGCACGTCCTGTCCCTCCCTGCCTCCCCTGCTTCTGAGGAAGCCCCAGCTCCCTCTCAGTGGCCAGCAGGGGTAGGAAGAAGACCCGGTGGTGAGTTCTGGCTTTGCTCTGTGGCCTTGGGCGACTTCCCTGGCCTCTCTGAGCTGTAGTTTCCTCATCTGAAAGCAAGGAGGACGATACTGACCAGAAAGGTTTCTTGGAGGTCTCAGTAAGGACTGAGTGGAAACACAGCATGAGCTGGAAGACGCCATGCAGGAGGGAATCATTGCTGCAGACCGGAAGTGCGTCTGTCTCAACTCCTCCCGGCTGCCTCTGCCTCTGCCTCTGCCCTCTTCCCCCACTGTTTGGGCTGGGCCAGGAAGCAGGCAAACGAGTGGCCAGCAGAGTCTGGCAAGCACCATCTTGCATGGAATTCTGAGGAGTGAGCCAGACTCTCAGTACAGGCAGGACACAGGCATAACTTGTGCTCTGTACTAGCAAGGCAGCCAGTGGGCTGAGAGTGGCTTCTAGAAGCCACACAGCAGTGCGTGCTGGTTACTTTACCATGGTTCAAGTCCCCTCAGTTTGGAAGGCCTTTGGGACTCTACAGCATGGACAAACTTGCCCTCATTCCTGCAGATGGGATGGACGTGTTTGCCAAAGCTCAAAGTGTCAAGATCCACAGGCCACAAAACTGGCAGAAAAGAGCCCCACGCCATGCATGGCACAGTGCTTTTGCCCAGGCGAGGGCACCCCAGATCCAGTGATTGGGTTTAAACACAGAGCAAGTTTTCTGCCTTTCCCTGACGCAGGTGAAGCAGACACTGACTGGGAGGGACAAAGCATTCGTGTGTCTTGGTGAGCTGTGGGTCAAAGCACAGCTGGAGAGGCCGGTATCTGCTGCATGGGATGTTCACAGTGGGAGGTGGTTGCAGCTCAGTGCGAGGGCTGCAGCTCAGGTACTCACGTGTGGGGAGGTGGGGGCAGGGCTGCCAGATGCAGCAGGAGGACCACGGGCCTCTGCCAAAGGCTAGAGTAGGATGGGGAGGTAGGATTGCTTTGGGGGTCACGCCTCTGCAGCACTAGGTGGCTTCGGGGAGACTTGAGCACCTGGTCGGTGCCATCTCCAATGTGTGAGTCTCTCAGAGTAAACCTTTGCTGTTTTTGTGCCAACGCAGATAATAAATCAGGGACATTGCTGGCAAGATACCCAGCCCTTGCCTTCCTCTGTGGAGCTTTGCCTCTGAACCGGTTGGGATTTGAAGGCAGAAGAAGAAACCAAGTGAGGACAACCTCATGTGCTACAGTCACGGTCCAGAGCTGCAGCTTCCAATTCTACGTGGCCCAGCATTTCATACCTTTCCCTTTCCTTCCCCCCTCCCTCTCCTGGAATGGAAGTCAGAGACAGGAATGCGCCTACACAGATAACTATAAAGGCTCGGTAGAATGCCCTCACTGTAGGGTAACACAGACCTGGGAGGAACATACGATATGCATGATAAACTACACGTGTGTCAGTGTGCTGGGACACAGGGCAGGAGGAGACCAGGGAATGTGACAGGTGCCTCCTCCTCCCCCTCTGCCCCCCGTCACTGGTGCAATCCTACGGACGCCCACAGCCCTGCAGGGCTTGGATGGCAGCTCCAAGGCCACAGCAGCATGTGGTGAGATTTTCAGAAATGAAAAATCAGGAAAGAATTTTTAAAAAACAAAGTGTATCCAACAGCAAGTTGATAAAATGGTTGTAATCTTGGAAAGCACAGTGTATGTTAAACCATGTCCCTGGCCCCAGAACCCTCTGGGTGATATGTAAAATACAGTTCAGTTCTCAGCTCTGATAACTATAAACAGGTTTTTCTCCTATATAAATGCTCAGCAGATGCTCAGAAGTCAGGGGATCCCAGGAAGTTCTTCCCTGAGAGGGACGTTTGTGTGCGCCTTGTCTGGACACCTGGCATCTAGCCCCAGCAGCGCACACAGCATTGAGGGCCTAAAAATGCCACCACAGAGCTCCACGGTGCATGCTGGGGGTCAGTGCTCCCCTGCCGAGAAAGTCTGGTCCTAGTTTAGAAATCAAAAATGGGGGTAGAGAATTAGAGCCTTCGGGAGAGTTACATGGGTTTGCAACAGCACAGCTATTCCAGCAGAGTGACAGTGGCCCCGCCAGAGGTCCTCAACAGCACAGGAGCACCTGCCAGGATTTAGAACTGGAAGGCAAGGTCCGGCCAGGTGTGAGATCGCACTGAGACACCCTTGCCTGGGTCCCCTCTGAGTTAAATCATTTTTACAACACCTGTTTATTGAGCTTCCTCCCGCTGCCAGGCGCTGGGGACACCATCTCTACCCTCGAGGGGCTCCTGGTCTACAGGGCAGAGCTCCACACAATTGCACAGTCAGGTGGGTCACCACAGAGAGCTGTGCATGGCCCAAGTGGCCTGGGGAGGAAGCTTCCAGGAGGACGTGACAAGCAGGACAGGCTTTGTGGAGTGCACGGTAGTCGGCAGGATAAAGCAGAGGGACTGCTCCCTATTAGGGGTGAAGGGGGAGGTCTCCGGCTATAGGTGACAGCTCCAAATGGGTGCTTGTTATGGAGCAGGGCAGCGTGGTAGGAAGAGGGGCTGATGTGGGGGATGACACAGGGTGGCATGGGCGATGTACCACCACGGGGAACTTGCGTAGGTTCACGGAGCACCTTGTTGACACAGTCCCTTTGAAAGCTCTTGGGTGCTATTGGATGGAAGTTGTTCACAGGTGTGTATCTCCCCAGGGCTACAGATCTGGGTGAGGCTACATCTCCCCGTCCTCAGCACTGTGCTTAGCCCAGGGGAGGCCTCCATGCATGTTCACTGATGCGTGAGTGGGTGAGTGAGTGAGTGAATCAGTGAATCGTGAAGTATCCCAGGTTGGGGCCTCCTGCTTCTCCTTGTAGGACTGAGAACGAAGAAAGTGACAAGGATATCGTGTCCCCAGTCATCTCCCATCCCCTTGTACTGTCACAGCCCTAAAGGAACCAGACCCCTGCCCACAGAGAGGAACAGGCCCGGCTGCTCAAACAGGGCCGATCCAATTTCGAGTTTAAATTGAAGCCCTCACAGTTGCTCCTCCCAATTTACTGTGCGTCAGGACGCCTTGGAAACAGGCAGATCCGCGCAGAAAGCAGACCAGGAGTTGCCAGCAGCTGAGCAGACGGCGACAGGTGACTCCTACTGGGTGCAGAGCTTCCTGGCAGGGTGACGCACCTGCTCTGCAACTAGGTACCAGTGGTGGTGGAACAGCACTGCAAATGTAGTGAAAACCTCGGAAAGTGGTGACTTTCATGCTATGTGAATTTTATCTGAAATTTTAAAAGACTCAGTAGAAACAGAACAAAACATCTGCATAAAAGTTGGAAGAGATCAGGAACCCCGAGAATCGTCACGTGAGTGAGTCTTTTTGTGTGTGTGACAACTGGCTCTTTCTCTCTCGTGTGCAGGATACTCACCGAGGACTGTTCATCCAGCAGCTGCGGCCCACGCAGAACCTGCAGCCGAGAATCAAGCTCAAGCTGTTTGGCCACTCGGGCGCTGGGAAAACCACCCTGGTGGAGTCTCTCAAGTGTGGGCTGCTGAGAAGCTTTTTCAGGAGGCGCCGGCCCCGGCTGGCCTCCGCCAGCTCCAGCAGGTTCCCGCCCTCGCCCCTGGCTTCCAAGCCCGCAGGTAGGAGGCCCCACGCGGCCGGCTCCCCGTGGGTGGGGCTTCTGCGCTCCCCTGTCAAGGAGAGGCGGTGTGTTCTGTTGCTTGACCCCGTGGCCTTGGTGGCTTTCAAGTGTGGTCTAGGCTGGCTGGTGGCCATGTGTGCATCCCCCTTGTCCAGATGGCAAACTGCCCCAGTCATAGCAAAACAAGGGCCTCCCTAAAACCATAGCCACAGAAACCCAGGTCCGGTGTGGTGCCTGTGCACATGGCAGAATTGCGTTGTGTTCCACCGGGGCTCTGTTCCTTATTGAAAGGATCTGTTCATAAAATTTGGAGTCAGTGAAAAGGCCACATGTGGCCCCAAGGCCACAGGTTCCCCACGCCTGGCTCGGACTCACACAGGTCCAAGCCCAAGGTCAGCAAGGCCCCCAGCAGGGTTCTCCCCCTCATGCTTCTTCCCTGGAGTGCTGCACAGCACCCAGTGTTTCGAGGGCCTGGAGCGCAAAATCAGATCCTCAGGGAGCCCCATTTGTGCTCAGATCAGAGCCGGAGGGTGGTTTCCTAGGCTCCTCACTGCTTTTCAGAGTTGGTCTGTCTCTCGGTCACAGACCTCGGGAAGCTTCGCCGTCCTCCTGGCCTTTGCAGACAGGACCGAGGACCCACGCGGGCTGGCAGGTGCCTTCCCCCAGGGCAGACGCACCTGCGGGGAGCAAGAGGCAACGGCACCGTCCTGCGCGTGATTGCTCCTGCCCCCCTTTAGAGGGAGGAATTAATTATTTTGAAGATAAGAATAGAGACATTCAGGGAATTTCCCATACAATGACGATTTCGTGCTTTGTGACTTGGATTCATTTTCTGTCCATGATATTACAAAGCTGTCAGATGCGTTCCTAGGCGGAAAACAAATGTGCTAAAGTCTGTGTTTCGGTGAACTTCCCCTCTCAGCGAGGGAGGGGTCAGGGGAGCATTTGTAGCTGGGGAACAGTTGAGATTTACACACCCCTTTAAACTTCTCTGAACACAGCAGTAATAACTAAAAAGAATTCACATTCGCATGATTACAGTTCGGCTGATACATGTGCTCATAATCACTGAGCACTGTGTGCCAGGAACCGGGCAGAATGTGGCATGTGTGTCACTCGTTCAGTCCACACGACAGCCCTCCAAGGTGTTTCTGCCACCGTTTTGCTGCAGCCTGGTGGTCAGCGGGCCGCCCTGAGCCGCCCTGAGTCACGCAGATAGCGACACACAGTGTCTGCTGCCTTGAGCCAGTGCTCACTGATGACACTCTGCACTAGGGCGTCTCCATGTACCGGCCTCTGTTTTCCACTGTAATGTAGGTTCCACTTGAGGGTGTAACATGGGTCCCACCTTCTCTGAAGGCGTTCGTTTTCCAGATTTGAGGATCAGGGGCCACCTCTGCAGGAGCTGCAGGCCATTGTCACTGTCCCACTCGGCTCCTCCCGCAGTTCCTGCTGTGACCCCTAGAGGGCCGCAGCTCTCTCCTGCTGTGGGTTGAGGTCAGTGCACTGTGAGCCAGTGTGGGAGGTGCGGGAAACGGGGTGGCGGGGGAGAGAATGGCTGGGGTTTTCGTAAGGCCTGAGGAGGTGTGAAGATCATGCCCCTGGCACGTGAGCTCCCCGGGAGGGAGAGATTTCACCTGCTGCTTCCGCTTCAGCCTCAGAAGTCACCTGTCCATTCGTCTTCCTTCCGGTCACTTTTCCATACCTAGTCTTTGGCGTAGGTTCTTGATAAAGCGCGGCTCGGTACGCGCGTCGTCAGCATGCCCACCCGCGGACGGTGTCCTCAGCCCGAGCTTGGGGAGCAGTGAGCCCCGGGGGCTGTGGGTGCCCCATGCTGGGACCAGATGAGCCGCCCGCTGCCCCCCGCACGTGCGGTTGGGGGTCTGGGGAGGAGGCTGCCTCCCTGTCCCTCGGCCACACGCCCGACAGCCATTTCTCAGAGAAGCCACTGGTCAGAGGGAGCCCGGCCCCCCAGAGGACGGTTAGGGGTGTGGGCCCTGCTCTTTCTTCAGTCTCCTGCCCTTCAGTTCTTTATGGCGTCTCGGGTTGCTGGCTTTGCTTCCCACGAGGACCCGAAGGAAGACAGCGCTCCACTTGCATCCCTTTCTCCTGGGGCAAATGTCTTCATGCTCTTGGGAAGCACAACTCCGAGAACGTCCACGTAGGGAACTGCAAGTCCTAAGAAAGCAGCAAATACCGGAAAGACTCGAGAGAGAAGGCAATGGGGACCCCTCAAGGTGGTCCAGCCCGCAAGGTCGCTGTCCTTGTGGACACAAAAGCCAAAGGCGTGTGTGGAAACCTCCGTAGAAGGAGACCCCGTGGGGAGGCCCCTGTGACACTAGCATGGCTCCCGCTGACCTGGCGTCCAGGTGCCACCACGCGTCCTCTCGTGACTCTCAGACCCTTGAGATCGTGTCCTGAGCCCATTTCAGAGGAAAGTGACCCGAGGCTCGGGGACACGAGGTGTGTCCGTGCAGGCAAGGTGGAGGGCCCCCACGGGACAAGCTGCAGCCACCTGTCGAGGATGAAGAGGGGAGGAGAAAGGCTGAATTAGTTGCCAGCATTTAAAAATCCAGGGATCTCACCCCAAAACTTGGATATTTGGAGTCTTGTGGAAAATTGGAAGTTTTGGCCATGCTGGATTCACCTGCCTGCCCGGTCAGTGGGGAGGAGGGCAGCGGCCCCACTTAGAGGGACGCAGGCTCCGCATTTCCTGCCGTCTCCACTGCCCCGCCCCTCAACTCCAAGCGTCCCTTAGAGCGGGACAGAGAGCTCCGAGGCCCAGCTCTGCCCCGGAGAGTGGAGCAGGAGTGCGCTGGAGTGTGTGACCCCGGGTAAGGTCACTCCTAGCCAATGTCAGAGGTGGGATTTGGTCCCATACGTGCTGGAAGGGCCTGCAAAGACAGAAGAGGTTTGCCGCCCCACCGAGGCCCACGTTGCTTAACGCCCACATGGCCCCTGCTCCAGGGGGTGCCCAGACTTTTATCCAAACAGTCCCTGGAAGTAACAAGATCCATCTGCAGTTAATTCAGCACCTGCCTAAGGCTGCGAAGAGGCAGGAGGCTGTGCTGCAGGCCCCATGCCACCTCCTGCCGACGTGGGGTGGGCCTCCCCTGGTGGGCGCACCTGCGTCTGAGGGAGCCGCCGTCGGGCACAGGCCCCAGCTGGACCCAGAGGTGGTTGGGCAGAGGAGATGCCGCCAGCCCTGACTGGCAGGTCGGTAGTCACTTGCTGGGCTCCCAGCTGGCGTGTCAGCACCAAGCAGCACCCTGCAAAAGCAGGCCACGGCACAAATGTCAGGCACTGTGAGGGTGGCCTGGAGAGAGCTGACTCTGGTCACGAAAGGTGCGTCCTAGGGACTGGACAGGGCAGCGTTGCCTTGTTGGACACCCCAGGAAAGGCCGCCCCTGAGCGTGTGCCTCCTGGGAAGGGATGTGGTTCTGGAAGCAGCGACATCCTCCCTCTCAGCGCCCTGGTCCTGCCCAGCAGGCCATGCTCCGCTCTCCCCCAGGCCAGGGCTCTGGACACCTGTCACCTCTCCTAGATTTGGCAGCCCTTTTCCTTTTATGGGGAGATGCCCACATGGGGACAAGACATCGTCAGACGGCAGGAAGTCCGCATGCTTTCAGGAGTTGGGCCCTTTGCCATTGGCTTCTTTGAGAACGCTGGAGGCAAAGGCTGAGCTCGAGGCAGGAGACGGAGTGTGACGTGTGTCCTGGTGGGAGAATGCAGCCGCCCCATCTGCAGGGGCTCAGAGCACACAGCAGCCTCTGGAGCCCAGCCAGCCCGGGTTCCCTGGGACGATCCGAGCAGCGCGAGAGGAGGGCGGGGGCAGGGGGGCCGCAGGGTTCTGGCCTGGCGCATCTCAGAGCTCCTGGCCTGGCACTCGGGCTGGCAGTGACCTCTCGTGAACCTCACACCGCCGTTACCTGGCTGCCACACACGTCACTCAGCCTTGTGGACGCTAGCGGCTGTGACTGTTGAGTGGTGGCCCCGCAGAAGGAGGGACAGTATCCAAGGTGACGGGAGGAGCGAGCGTGCGGGAGGGGCCCTCCTTGCTGGGCCGGCCACTCTGCACCACCGGGGCAGCAGTTAGCAAGAAAAACCCATTTCCCCCTGTGATTTCAGTGTTTTCCCTGTGAAATTATTCTTTTAATAATACCATATGCTAACCCTGTCCTAACCTCTCATTCTCCTAATGAAAGCTGTCACCAAGGAGGAGGAAGGGCTGCAAATCACCAAACAGCGTCTGCTCCACTCAGCTAGCACCTGGCCACGTGGCACTAAAACAGGGTTTGTCCCTGACAGGTGGTCATCCAGGCACAGGTTCCAGGTCACAGCTAAGTGGACAGACCCATTTTTGGAAAACCCCTTAGCTTTTGTCAGACTTGGGCCATGCTCTGCAGAGAAATACACTGAAATGTTGGCCATGTTGACCTTGAGGGTTAAGTCGTTTTGTTTCTTCTTACCTTCCTGTTTGCCAACATTTCTGCTGTTTTAATCAGAAATTGTGTGGGTGTGTATGTGTGTTTGTGTTAAGAATAACTCTTCCCATCCAAAGGAGGAGGGACATTCCCATTGTCCCTCCTCCTTTTCTGGCACCCAGCCCTGCCCTTGGGGTCTGCTTGTCCCATCCTTTGGATATTCCCATCATCCGTGTCTTCAGTCTTAAATATTTGGTTTTACGTAAGGGCTTACCTCTGTGTGTGGATCACCGATTTTAAAGGTCGGATCGCCCAGGTGAAATGGTCTCTTCCTCAGCGCCTTGCAATGTCTGTGGAATTCATTGTGAACCATTGGTCCTTCGTGGTTCAGTTCTGCACCTTGAACCTATTCCCGATCCACTGACTCACAGATACAGGCCGAGCACCCACCTCAGGCCAGGCCCTGAGGCAGACAGACGGCTTCTGCCTGCCCCGCGCTGGTGGCAGAGGAGACAGACAAGGCTGTGGGCCGGCGAGGAGCCGGGATGCTGAGGAAGCCCTGGGCCCGTGCAGGGCAAGCCTGGGCTCTGCTCCCTACGCAGGGGACGCGGGCCTTGCTGTCCCCTCGTCTCACGCCCGTTCCTCCATTATTACATAGTATTTCCTTTAAACTGACCCACTTTTGCTTACTTACTAAAATATGTTGATTTGAAAACAAAACAGTTACATCCTTACCATAAATGGAAACCCAGCACCACTGCCAGAGTAAAAGTAAATGCAATGAGCAGCAAACAACGTGATTAAAACCTATCTACGTGCTGATGCCCACTCCCTCATTATTACAGGGAAGATGAGCAGGCAGAGAGGAGATGCTAAAATCTCAAGGCCACAAATGGAGACTTGCTGCTAGAGTTGCTGAAAGGCCTTCCGGGAACTTTACAAAGGAAAACTTGTGTGTGTGTGTGTGTGTGTGTGTGTGTGTGTGTGTGTTTTTCTTTTTGAGACAGAGTCTCACTTTGTTGCCCAGGCTAGAGTGAGTGCCGTGGCGTCAGCCTAGCTCACAGCAACCTCAATTTCCTGGGCTCAAGTGATCCTCCTGCCTCAGCCTCCCGAGTAGCTGGGACTACAGGCATGCACCACCATGCCCGGCTAATTTTTGGTATATATATATATTTTAGTTGGTCCATTAGTTTCTTTCTATTTTTAGGAGAGGCAGGGTCTCTCTCAGGCTGGTTTCGAACTCCTGACCTTGAGCGATCCACCCGCCTCGGCCTCCCAGAGTGCTGGGATTACAGGCATGAGCCACCGGGCCCTGCCAAAAAGGAAAACTTTGGGGTCATGTGTTTCAGCATTCTTAATGCCAGGGTCTCCTACTGTCAAAGTCGTTTTGCATTCAACGTGACATAATCCCATGTATTAGAGAGAGAAGCCACCCAGTGGGAGCCAGAGCCACCGAGAGACACAGCTAGTATCAGAGAAGCAGCGGGAAGCAAGAAGGGAAGAAATTCCCGACCTTCCTCTCCTCCCTCTTCTCCAGGGCCTCCCCTTGGCTGGCCCCAGCCACAAACCAAATGGCAAACAAGCCTGGGGACACAGCCCCTAGGGCCAGCCTCTCAGGACACAGAGCGGGGCAGGAAAGAGTTGTGGGGAGGTGGAGAGAACAGAAGAGGCCGGCAGCCCCCCTGGGAATCGCTGCTGCCCAGCACACTTGCCGCCTGAAGCCAGAGTGCGTTGGGGACAGGGCAGGGCCTGGAGGGACAGCAGGACTCGCTGTTCTGGGCAAGGGCTCACTTGCGTCCTTTCTGGCCTGCAGTCTCCGTGAGCATCAACAACCTGTACCCGGGCTGCGAGAACGTGAGCGTGAGGAGCCGCAGCATGATGTTCGAGCCGGGCCTCACCAAAGGGATGCTGGAGGTGTTCGTGGCCCCGTCCCACCACCCGCACTGCTCGGCCGATGACCAGTCCACCAAGGCCATCGACATCCAGAACGCCTATTTGAACGGTACGCCCTGCCTGCCCCCAGGGAAGGACCTCGGGTTTCCCTTTGACAGGGCTGTGAGTCATTCCCCAAAGTCAGCTTGTCCCAGGCAGCATGTGTCACACCTGGAAGAAAATGCAAGGCACACAGAAATAGGGAGCGAGGCAGGACCGCAGCTGGGCTGCCTTCCTCTCCTAAAGTAAAACTAAACCCCGGGTATCCCCAGCACCTAGAAAAGCACCTGACAAAGCACCTAGCAAAGCACCTGGCATACCATAGGTACTTGATAAATGATTGTTAAGTAAATTAATAATATTTGTACATATTTATGGATTGCCCCTGATATTTTATTACGTGCATTTCATGTGTAATGATCATATCAGGGTGTTTTGGGGGTATCCTTCACTTTGAGCATTTGTTATTTATAATTTCTATGTGCTGGAAACATTTCTTTCAGGTCCTCTCTTCTAGCTACTTCTAAATATACAATACATTGTTTTCAACTACAGTCACCCTACTCTGCTGTTGAACGTTAGAACTTACTCCTTCCGTGTGTTTACGCCCATTAACCAACCTCTCCTCACACACGACCCCCCAACACACACACTTCTCAGTCTCTGGTACCTATCATTCTACTCTCTGTCTTCATAAAATTATTTTTTTTTTATCTCCCACATACGAGTGTGAACATGCTGTGTTTATTTTTTCTGTGCCTGGCTGATTTCACTTAACATATGACCTCCAGTTCCTTCATCCATGTTGCTGCAAATGCCAGGATTTCATTCTTTATTATAGCCAAGTAGTATTTTATAGACATACAGTGCCACATTTTCTTTATCCATTCATCCATTGATAGGCATTCAGGTCAATTCCATGTCTGGTTTAATTGTAAATACTGCTGCAAATACATGGGCGTGCAGGTATTGCTTCGATACACTGATTCCTTTCCTTTGGGTAAATACCCAGCAGTGGGATTGCTAGATTATACAGTACTTCTATTTTTAGTTTTTTGAGGACTCCATACTGTTTTCCACAGTGGCTATACCAATTCACACTCCCACCAACAGTGCATCAGAGTTCCCTTTTCTGCATCCTCACCAGCATCTGTTCCTTTTTTTTCTTTTATAGCAGCCTTTCTGAGTGGGATTAGATGACATCTCATTGTGGTTTCAATTTGCATTCCCTTCATCATTAGTGGTGTTAAGCATTTTGTTATGTATCTGTTGGCTTTTTGTATGTGTTGTTTTCAGAAATGTGTATTCATGTTCTTTGCCCACTTTTAAATGGGATTTTTTTGTTTTCTCACTGTTGAGTTCTTTGAGTTCCTTATATATTTTGGATATTAATCCTTTGTCAGAAGAATAGTTTGGTAATATTTTTTTCCATTCAAAAGTTGTCTTTTCATTCTGTTGATTGTTTCCTTTGCCATGCAGAAGTTTTTTAGTTTAATATAGTCCCGTTAGTCTGTTTTTGTTTTTGTTGTCTGTGCTTTTGTGGTTTTAACCATAACATTTTTTGCAAGACTAGTGTCATGGAGTGTTTCCTTTATGTTTTCTTCTAGTAGTTTTATAATTTCAGTCTGTAATCTATCTTGAGTTGATTTTTTTATATTAATATTATGAAAGTGGTTCAGTTTCATTCTTCTACATGTAGATACCCAATTTTTCCAGTACTATTTATTGAATAGGGTAATCGTTACCCAATTTGTGTTCTGGCACCTTTGTTGAAAATCAGTTGGCTATAAATACATGTGTTTATTTCTGGGTTCTCTATTTTGTTCCATGGCTCTATATGTCTGTATGTGATATTACCAATACCATGCTGCTTTGGTTGCTATAGCTTTGCAATATATGTTGAAGTCAGATAGTGTGATGCCTCCAACTTTGTTCTTTTCACTTAGGATTACTTTAGCTATTCAGGCTCTTTTTTAGCTCCATATGAATTACATGGTCGTTTTTTTTCTATTTCTATGAAAAATGACATTGGTGTTTTGGGGTTTGTTTTTTGTTTCATTTTGTTTTGTTTTTTGTTCAGAGACAGGGTCTCAATTCTGTCACCCAGTCTGGAGGCCAGTTGCATGATCATAGCTCATTGCAGCCTCAAACTCCTTACTCAAGCGATTCCCCTGCCTTAGCCTCCTGAGTATCTGGGACTACAGGCCACATGCCACCATGCCCAGCTAATTTTTTAATTTTTTGTCGAGATGGGGCCTCACTGTGTCGCCTACGCTGGTCTCACGCTCCTGGCCTCAAATGATCTTCCCACCTTTGCTTCCCAAAATTGCTGGGATTCCAGATGGGAGCTACCATGCCCCATGACATTGGTGTTTTGATAGGGATTGCATCGAATCTGTAGATTGCTTTGAGTAGTGTGGTCATTTTCATAACATTAATTCTTCCAATACCTGACCATAGGATGTCTTTCCGTTTGTTTATGTCCTCTTCAGTTCCTTGTACCAGTCTTTTATCGTTTTCCTCATAGAGGTCTTTCACTTCCTTGGTTAAATTTATCACTAGGTATTTTATTTTTTATTGTAAGTGGGATTGCTTTCTTATTTTTTTCTCAGCTAGTTTAGTATTAGTGTATAGAAATACTACTGGTTTTTATATGTTGCTTTTTTTATCCTACAAATTTACTTATTTATTATGAACTTATTTATCAGATCTAAGAGGTTTTTTTGGTGGAGTCTTTAGGTTTTCCTAGATACAGATCACATCATCAGCAAATAGAGATGGTTTCACTTTGTCTTTTCCAACTTGGATGCTTTTCTTTCTTTCTCTTGCCTGATTGCTCTGGCTGGGACATCCAGCATTATGTTGAATAGGAGTGGTGAAAGTGGGCATCCTTGTCTTGTTCTAGTTCTTGGAGGAAAGGCTTTCAGCTTTCTTATATCTATTTCTTTGATAAATTTCTCATTAATATCTGGAATTGTCTTTCTAATCCTTTTGTATTATTTTTCTGTATTCTCTTGTATCTCATTGAACTTGTTTAATATTATTATTTTGAATTCTTTTTCTGGGATTTTATAGTTTCTTTTTCATTGGAATCTGTTGCTGGAAAGTAATTATATTTCTTTGCTTTTTCATATTTCTTGTGTCCTTACATTGATACCTGTGCATCTGGTATAATAGTCACGTCTTCCAACTTTTTGGATTTGTTTTCATAGGGGAGGACTTTTCCCTGAAGTAGTACTACAGTGTTTTGGGCACTTGGGCTTTGTTTCTGGATATGTGAAGGTAGTGTAGTCCTTATGTGGTTTCTTTGGCCATAAATGGCACCAGTGGCGTCTGTGATTTCCTCAGTGGCTTAGGGTGTGGTTGTCAGTGGAGGCAGTGGTTAAGTTTTAATGGGGACAGGGATGCCAGATGGGCTAGTCCTCAGTCCCCAGTGGTGGCAGTGGTGAACTGAGCATGGATGGCTGTCCTTGGTCCCCAAGGCAATGTCTGCTGGTACTGGTGTTAGTGTGCCCAGGTGGGACAATTCTTGGGCTCAGGTACTGGGAGTGGCAGTGATAAGCTAGGCAGGTAGGCAGGTTATTGGACCCCTGGACCGTGGGCATGGCATCAGCAATGGCAGTAGCAACAGGGGGACAACTCTTTGGCTTCCAAGTAGTGTTGCAGTGGCTGCAATGGGCTAGGCAGGCCAGTACCCAGACCCGCAGGTGACGCACATGGGTACGTGTTAGTTGTGGTGGTAGCAGTCGGTTGGGTGGGCCTGACCACAGGCTTCCAGTGGGAGTGCTCAGGCACCAATGGTGGTGGACTGGCTGGGCAATCCAAGGCTCTTGGACAGCATAATTGGGCACTGAGGCAGAGATAGAGCCAGGCCAGGCAAACCTGTCCTCAGGTCCCCTGATGGTGTGTGTAGGTGCTGGCTGTGGTAAGCAGGGGCAGGGCAATCCCCAGGATCCCAGCAGAATGCTTGGGTGGGGGTGACAGCGGCTATGCTACAGTCCTGCTGCTGGTAGAGTGGGCTTGCTTTCCGTGGCAGCAGCTGTATGTAGCCTGCTGGGGGTGGCTGCAGTGGTCTGGCTTTGGGTGAGGGGTTCTGTCTCAAGGTGCGTGAAAACAAGTGTACAGTAGGGTTGCTGCCAAGAGCTCATACTCCAGCGCTGGCAGCAGTAGCCACACAGAGAGGTGGCTGCAGGTTGGGCATACCAGTGGGGCTCAGGGCTGCGGAGATGCAGGGGCTGTTGGGCCCATGGCAGGATGGAGTCCGTGGGTGCTGGACTCTGAAATGGCACCATGCTATAGCTGCTTAGGACTCAGGGGATATGCCATCAAAACCAGCTTCATAACCACCCACTCTCATGGGAACAAATCCATTCCTGTGACAGCTAACACACTTTCACGAGAGTAAGAACTCACTTACCTCCACAAGAACAGCACCAAGCCTTTCATGAGTGACCCGCCCTCCTAAACATCTCCTGCTAGGCGCCACCTCCAACACTGCCGCACTGGGAGTTAGATTTCAGTATGAGTTTTAGTGGGGACAAACTGTATGCAATCATGGCAAGATGTTCGTTACATAGACAGATGAATGCCACGGACATCACTAGCCCTCCTTGGAACCCCTGGATTGCCAAGAAAAATTATAGTTGAAATTCAGCGGTGGTGTTTCAGGATGGGAATCTCCACTTTTCTTTTTCTGCAGGAGTTGGCGATTTCAGCGTGTGGGAGTTCTCTGGAAATCCTGTGTACTTCTGCTGTTATGACTATTTCGCTGCAAATGATCCCACGTCAATCCATGTCATTGTTTTTAGTCTAGAAGAGCCCTATGAGATCCAGCTGAACCAAGTGATTTTCTGGCTCAGTTTCCTGAAGTCCCTCGTCCCAGTCGAAGAACCCATAGGTGAGCTAAGTGCCCGTGGGCGAGGGAGTGTCCTTCCTGCTGCCGGCGGGCATCGCCTCCTCCCTCCTGGCTCCTGCGCTGCTCCTGCCGCTGGTGCAGGCCTTGCACCCCGGCCGCGTGCAGATCCCACAGCTGTGGCTCCTCCTGCTAGGAAACTTCCAGTCTGGAAAGCTTCCTGGGGCTCAGCCATTCAGTGTTCTGTAGAAAGATTTTGTATCACGATTGTGTGTTCCTGCCTCAAAGGCCCGATTCCAAGCCAGTCATTTAGAGCCATTTCTCAGATTCTTTCTACGCTTTCCAGCCATGGTCATTTTGTTGGGTGCAGAATGGAATCCCTGCTCAGATGGCTGCTGCCCCTTTGCCTAAAGGGAACAGAATTAATCAGCAGAAGGAGCTCTCCTTCCTCCTGCAGGTCCGTCAAGAACTGATGAGACAGGATGGTGTTGCCTGAATGTGTTATCTTAGCTTCGTTCCTAGAGGAGAGGACGACATGGAATAAACTTCTTTTGTTCTTCACATACAACAAGAGAAGCAGCCTTCCCTGGTGAAATGCAATCCTTAGCAGTCAATTTTTTTCCCAGAAAAGCCTTTAATAATAAATTGGGCTTAATACCCCTCAAGATGCTGCCATTTTTGCCTCTTTCTTTCTCTTTTATTATTCATGGCTTTTTGTTTTAAACACTCCCATAAGTGGAGGCTGTCTGTGTGACTTGCGGACCGTTTCTCTCTGAGCCATCCCGGTGGTGTTGCTGCACTCAGGGGCCTTTCTTTGGTCTTGTAAAGAGTGTCCCTCATGTGCAGATTGGGGCTACTTGGAGGAAGGCCTGAGAAGCTGCCTTTTGTAGTCTGGGGTCAGGTCTGGTCCACTCTGAGCGATTTTCCTTGAGGCCCAGGAAATAGGCTCATCTTCCTGTTGGCCGGGCCTAGGGACTTCCAGAGGGCACACTGCACGGTGGGCATGGGGCCCTCATGTCTGCGGCAGGTTGCCCATCCACCTGCAGAGATGGCCTGGGCATGAGGCCAGGACGCCCCCTGCCCTGGGCAGGAGAGTCAGCCAGGTAGGAGGACCCGCTTCATAACACAGCTCCCTCTGCCCCCAGCCTTTGGTGGGAAGCTGAAGAACCCGCTCCGAGTTGTCCTGGTGGCTACCCATGCTGACATCATGAACGTTCCTCGACCAGCTGGAGGCGAGTTTGGATATGACAAAGATACATCGTTGCTGAAAGAGATCAGGAACAGGTGAGGGGGCTGCTGGGTCTCCAGCCCAGGTGACAGGAACCGAATCGGGTGTGTGAAAAATACAACAGAACTCACATGAACTACAGAAAGGAATTAAAGACCTTTTTCCTTGGTTGACTTTTTTGTTGTATGGCTTGAGTATCTGTTATCCAACATGATTGAGACCAGAAATGTTTTAGATTTCATATTTCTTTGGCTTTTAGGAATAGTTGCATATACATAATGGTTGAACGTCCGCAATAAGAAAATTCTAAATCTGAAATGCTCCAATGTGCATTTCCTTTGAGCATCATGTTGGTGCTCAAAAGGTTTTCAGATATTAGAACATATCAGATTTCAGATTTCCCAATTAGAGATGCACAACCTCTATTTTTTTGTTTTTATCAAAGCAGTAAATCCACATAATAACATATAGAAGCAAAGAACACATGATGAAAAGCAGCAGTCCTCTACCTTTTCCTCCCCTCCCAGCACCACTGCCCAGAGAAAGCTTCTAGCTGTTTTAGGTTTCCGTGCTTTCCATGATTAAGATGATAATGCAAATCAGTATTTCTCAAAATATAAGTTATAATCCACTAATGGGACATGAGATTCATTTAGGGGACCATGACCAACTCTTTTTTATTTTTATTTAGTTTTGCATGTGACCTTATTTGCAGATATCTTTTTTAAATGAGATGGGATGGAATGGAATAGAATAGGATAGATGAGAGTACATTTCATTTCATTTGTAAAACTTTTTTCACTTATCAATATGGGTGTGTATGGGGTCATGATATAAAATACATATTTTTACTTTGAGTCTATCAAATGCTAACAACTTAGATATTAAATTATTAACTTGAGACACTCATCTATTGTCATGAAGATATGAAAAATGTGAGGCTTCTATTAACACGTGTAGATCAGTGGTGCAACTGTTGCGTCCATACCTCTACTCTTAGTTCCTCCCCTTTCAACAGTGTTTCTTCTCCCAACTTGTAAGGTGAGCGCACTAGGCCCGCCTTTCCGTGTCAGGGGAACTGACGTCTCTCCAGGCCTTGTTCCTGCAGCTTTGCTAAAACCTGAAGCTCCTGTGTGGGTGACTCGGAGCGTGCGCCAGTGTCCCCATGCCTCTTCCCGTGGTGTGATAAGGCGGAGTCCCTCAAACAGCAGGGAAGGAGGGGCCTTTGCAAAGCCACCAGAACTTTCCTTGCCTCCTACCCACCTCTCGGGCCAGTAGGAGCCTGGCCTCTCCGTGGAAAGACCTGGTGAGATCGATTCACTGCTAAGGAAGCTCCTTCTGCTCCCACAGGTTTGGAAATGATCTTCACATTTCCAATAAGCTGTTCGTTCTGGATGCTGGGGCTTCTGGGTCTAAGGACATAAAGGTACTTCGAAGTCACCTGCAAGAAATACGGAGCCAGATTGTTTCGGTGAGTAGACCCTGGAGGGCACCTGGCCCCAGACCACCCAGTGAGCCAGGGAGCTGGGCCTTTGTGCTGCCCTCTTGGTTGGATTTGGGCTCGGGGGACTGCTTCACAGTAGGACCCAGCACGGGGTGGCTGCAGGGACATGTTTTTATCCTGTTGCTCTTGGTCAAGGAAGGAAAAGTAGAGAAACAAGGAGATGACTGGAGATAAAGGGTTGTTATGGGCACAGGTAGACCAGTTCAGATTGTGTGAAATCCATACAGTTTTAATGGTTTTTTTAAAAAACCATTTTCTTTAATAAATTACAAAAGAAATTCAAAACTGACTTACTGTAGCATATCTAGAAAATTCAGAAGAGTGGAAAAACAGTTACTAACAAACAAGTAAAAGGCATAAAATGATAGGTGAACTAATGGAGTGAGACTGCATTCTTGGATTACAGGATATGACCCAATGTTTAATTTTTCCCACGTGATATAAACTTATTACAATTCCAGCTAGAATCTGAATGGGATTTAGGGGATTAGGTTTTTTGGAAAATTTTCATGGAAAAATAATAAGACATAGGCTCTATATAAATACAGTTAGATAAGAGGAAAAGCTTAGAGAGTGTAGAAGTAAATTACAGTATCTCTAGAAATGTAATGGAAAACAGATATTTTAATTTAATGGGGGAAAAGTTTATTTAATAAGTGATCGTAGCACAACTGGTGATTTGCATGGAAGGAAATAAAGTTGGGCTCCTACACTCTATAGCGTCTAAAAGTAAATGAATTAAAAAATAATAAATAAAAGTAAATGAATTAAAAAATAATAATAATAAATAAAAGTAAATGAATTAAAATTTAAAATGTAAAAAAATAAAACAATAAATATCTTAAACGGAAATTTAGAGAATGTATTTGTAAAAATAACTAGGTACTGGGGAAGACACTTAAAACAAGGTAGAAAACCCCAGAAACTTTCAAAGAAGTTTGAAAATAAGTTTTCAACTGTATCTATTTGGAAACATAATGTTTTCCTAAATTTTTTCTGGCAAATAAATTCAATAAACAAAGTTGAAGGGTGAAATAGATTCGGAAAAAACATTCTTCAACGTATTTGACAGATAAAGCATTACTATCTATAATATTTGAAAAGCTCACAAAAATTGGTAGGAAAAGGGCAAATAGGGTAAATAGAAAAAATACTAAAATGTAAAACTGCTCACCGGCACTCAGGAATGTTCCTACCACTGAAGCCTGGGTGGAAACTCTGGCCAGGTGTGCATCTGCCTCTCCTGTCACACACCCCCTTCCAGAACACTCCTGCCAACACCAGGCTCTGTTTCCCCACGTGCTTTAGGGATTCTCAGGAAACTCCTCTCTCAGGAAAACCTGTCCCCTGAGCACACCGGATGCCCTTGCTTCCCTGTTGAGGCCCACGATGGCAGAGTCAGATGGGGGTGGTCTGGGAGGTATTTTCGCGGAGGACTCGTGTCTGGAGCGCAGACTCACGCTATGGTACGAGCAGGGAGCGGTGGCGTCCTGTTGTGACGGCCTAGAGGTAGCGATCCCCACGCGCGGGTGGAGGTAGAGCAGGGCAGTGGGACGCATTGTTTTTTGGTGTAGAGGCATGTGGCTGTGTGCGATGGCAGTCGGCTTTGTGCATGGGGGGTCGGGTGGGGGTAACGAGCGGCGATGCGGAAAGGAGGGGAGGGGCAGGTGGACAGTGAGAGCTGCTTGTAGGAGCCTGTTCGCATGTTGTGCTGTGATTGGCGTGGATGGAGGGTGCGTGTTGCCAGAGAGCACCTCGCGGAAGTATTCTTCAGTCTGTGTGACATGACCAGTAGATGAGCTGGACAGCTGCGGATTAGGAATCCTTGAGGTTGATAACGATTGCGAGGTTCAACAGCTCTACAAAAAAAATATGCCCCAGTACTCAACATACAAGGTGAATCTAGGTTTCATGCCATGTCCGTGAGATGAAGAGGGGTGGTCTTGGATGGCTGGGTCTGCGCTGTGGGTGTAGTGCTTGACCGCCTCAGTTCCGCTCAGCGGCCACACCGGACGCAGCTGGGCACGCTGTGGCTGCGCATGTTTAAGGTCTGCCTCCAATGGATACGTTTCGTGGCTAGCTGGTGTGTGCGAGGCTCCGCCGACTTGGTGCCGTGTACGGCTGGGTGTGTGAGCCTCTCAGTAAGAATTGGCCATCCCAGATGGTGTCGCTGCAGCAGCAGTTCGGTAACGAGTGCAGGTAGGCTGATCGAGCCTGTGGGGCAGGGGAGATAGGAGTCTCCTCAGGCGGCGCAAGCGGGGGCGTCAGCAAGGGTGGGCAATCTTGCGGTTCCCACGGCGCGCTCGTCCGGTCGCTCTCGTGCTGATGGTGCCCCGCGCAGGTTCACCATGCCTTGTGGATGCCGCGGGAGTGGCGTGAGGTGTCGGACCACGCCGCTGCACCAGCACAGGCGAAGGTGAGCGCCCGCGACCCAGTCGTCCGGATCCAGCCTCGTGGAGGTGGATGTCGAGCCCTGGGGGAGGAGAGGGAATGACCAGCTACCAACAGTATTTCCAGACGTGCCGGTCGCTTTCCATGTTGCCGCTCAAGGTGCGCTCTGAACTGCAGTTCTCTGCCTTGGCTCTCACTCTAGAGGGTGTCGTTGGGTTGTAGTGCGTGTGTTGCTCGTGTTTTGATGAGTCTGCCGAGAGTGTCTGCTTTCAATAGTTGAGTGGGTAGACGCCAAGGGCTGGCTCTGGCCCTGGTACGTGGGTACGCAAGATGTCAATGGCTTCGGGATCTGCGTGCTCCTCCAGTACGTGCCGTCCTGGCTGTCACCTGGAGAGCCTCTGTGGCTCATTCTTGGCGGGTGATTTCACGCCCCCGGTAGTGGGTGGCTGGGGCTTCCCGAGTGTGGGCGTATCCAGGGGCGATTAGACCTCGGCACGCGTGACGGCAGCCTAGCCGGATGCGAGTAAACGGGGGGTCGTCTCAGTAGAAGACAGTGTGTGTGGATCGCCCTGGAGATGGGAGGTGCCAGTTGTGGCTCAGACCAGGGGGACGCCGAGGTCTCTACAGGAGTATACTGATTCTGAGCGGGCGCAGCAAAGAGTAGGAAGGACTGGTTAAGTGAAAAAGATAAGCTGAAGGCTGTGGCGCGAAAGTTTATCACCAAGGATGCACAAAGGTGTGGTGATAGAGAGTGCCTTGTCGCTTGGCGCGTGTTTGTTCGGTCTGGGCTTGGTGGGGTGTGGAAACCTTGCTTGTCTGAGCGGCATCGTATACGAGCCGGGTTGCTCTGGCAAATACGGGTGCATCAGTCTTGAGTTCCTGCATGGGGAGAAATAATCACGAGACGCGTAATGGGCTCTTAAGGGGCCAAGAGGAGATCGTATTCTAGATACTGGATTATGGTCCCAAACTCTAGAAAATACAGCTCTGAGCGGCAAATTAGCGCAAAGATGTCCCTGATGCTTTTTGTGCGCGCGGAGTCTTCTCTTGGTGAGAGTGTCGGGTCTTGTACTCTCTTATATAATGAGATTTTGCTCAGTCTGTACTTTTCGCTTGAATTTTTAAAATCTTTATCCACAGCAGTGAGCACTTGAATAGGAGTTAGAGGCCGTACCTGTCGTAGGTTTTTGTACTTGCAATGTTGTGCACTCCTTATACTTCCATAGTTAACAGCGGCTTGGGTAGTTGTATGATTGAAGGAGAAGTACCTGGAAAAGGGTGTGTTCCTCTTATAGAGAGAGGTGAACAGAGAGCATATGGTCAAAAAGTATTAGGAATGAATAGCTATTAGATTCTGGCTGGATGATTAAGATTGGTTGAGTATTGGCTGATCGGACTTAGCTTGGTGGAGCCACAGCTTCGTCTTGGGGTCGCTTGTGTGTGTGGGAGCGGCGAGTCCTGGTTTCATATATAGATTAGCCTCTTTAGTTGAAGCTATGTTTTATTCTGCACATTTTCACTCTTCCGATTTGCTCTTGTATATGAGTATCTGGTGAACGTATTACTGGTAAAGGTTCGTACTATTTTTAAATGTGTTAGTGTATAACTTTTTACGCCTCCAGATACGCGGGGGTACGGTCTCACGCTCTCTGTCAGTCTGGTTTAAACTTGAATCGTGGCCGGCTCGCGCTCCTCCAGCCCTGCCTTCTGGTACCTGCTTGCAGGTCTCACTCCATTTCCCCAGCAGCCCTTCTGGTGTGCCCTTTCTGGTCCAGGGCACAGCATTTACTGTGAGCTGTGTCGCCTGCTTACTCTGCTCCTCTAGGGGCCAGATTGTCAGTCTCTGTCTTTCGTGACCCTGAGGAGATGGCAGTGTTTAGGACGCAATTGCAAATGGTGTTCCACCAAATGCCATATTCAGAACTTAATAGATACTGGCTCCGCCCTTCAGGAGTTTTCAGCCGAGGCTCAGGTTTGACAGAATCAGGGCAGAGGGCGCCTTGAAGGCTTAGGCCCGACTGTGGGTGGCAAGTCTGTGGGCGACAGGCAGAGTCTGAGCCCCCATGTGAGGAAGGAGGCACCTTGGGTGGCCACTGTTCACAGCCCCGGCTCACGGCAGGAGGGGAGATAGGAAGGGGAACTGTTCCATAAAGGGAAAGTTACTTCTGTTTTTGTCACATTTTTTCTTTGTGACCTTTGATTTTTTAAAGAAATAAACAACCATAAACCTGTAGTCCCTACTGGTCACCATCCCCCATCTCGTTCTTATCCCCATCTCTTGGGCCAACAGTTACCATGGCAGCATATCTTTCCAGACCTTTTTAATGAAGGGTGTTTAAAATTTACATAATGTTTCAGCCAGGCAAGGTGGCTCACGCCTGTAATCCTAGCACTCTGGGAGGCGAAGGCAGCAGGATCACTTGAGGTCAGTAGTTTAAGACCAGACTGAGCGAGAGTGAGACCTCATCTTTTATCTAAAATTAAACTTTAAAATTAAAAAAATAATAAAATTTACATTTTATAAAATATTGTGAATATTTTTTGAAAAATCTTTTTAAAAATGTCAAGCCTTCAGCAAAGTTGCAAGAATAGTACCATGAACCTTCCTCTCCTCTACACTTGACCAACTGTTTACATTTTGCTCCATTTGCTTGATTCCTCTGTCTTTTGTTTCTGTGCTCATTTATTTTATAGACATCATAATATTTCTCTCTTAAATAATTTAGCCTTCATCTCCTAAAGAGAAGGATTTTTTCCCATATAACACCATATAATTGATCACATCTCAGAAAAACGACATGGGTATAGAACCATGATCTAATATATAGTCCTCTGAAGGTGACTTTGAGCAAAATATTTGAAAAAATGAATATGCAGTTCTCATGGAAGAATTTGCCCTTTGTCCCAAAAATTTCATTCATGACTATGTTTATTTCTGTGTGTATTTATTTTGGGATCCATAATCCAGTCTAGAATCACTCATTGCCTTTGGTTGCCATTTCTCTTCTTTTTTCTTTCATTTCATTGGCCTTTTTGAAGACTCGAGGGTAGTTGTTTTCCAGAATTTCTCTTCTGACGTTGTCAGGATGTTTTTCCCCACAGCGTTTGGCCTTCGAGATGCATCCGTGTCAATGACCCTGGGTCATTCCTTGGAACATCTGCTCAGGCACTGTCACTGGGACCAGGCCCTTTCCTACTCTGGCTGGTGCGCCCGGCCAGGGCTCTTCCCTAAGTGACCTTCTGCTGTCCCCTCTGGCAGATCAACATCATGCAGAGCGAAACGGTGCAGGACGTGCTGCTCCTGGACCCCCGCTGGCTGTGCACCTGCGTCCTGGGGAAGCTGCTGTCCGTGGAGACGCCGCGGGCCCTGCACCACTACCGGGGCCGCTACACCGTGGAGGACATCCAGCGCCTGGTGCCCGACAGCGACGTGGAGGAGCTGCTGCAGATCCTCGACGCCATGGACATCTGCGCCCGCGACCTGAGCAGCGGGACCATGGTGGACGTGCCCGCCCTGATCAAGACGGACAACCTGCACCGCTCCTGGGCGGACGAGGAGGACGAGGCGATGGTGTACGGCGGCGTGCGCGTGGTCCCGGTGGAGCACCTCACGCCCTTCCCGTGCGGCATCTTTCACAAGGTGCAGGTGAACCTGTGCCGCTGGGTGCACCAGCAGGGCACGGAGGGCGACGCGGACATCCGCCTGTGGGTGAACGGCTGCAAGATTGCCCACCGCGGCGCCGAGCTGCTGGTGCTGCTGGTGAACCACGGCCAGGGCGTGGAGGTGCAGGTGCGCGGTCTGGAGACGGACAAGGTCAAGTGCTGCCTCCTGCTGGACTCGGTGTGCAGCACCATCGAGAACGTCATGGCCAGCACGCTGCCCGGGCTCCTGACCGTCAAGCACTACCTGAGCCCCCAGCAGCTGCGGGAGCACCACGAGCCCGTCATGATCTACCAGCCGCGGGACTTCTTCCGGGCGCAGGCGCTGAAGGAGACCTCCCTGACGAACACCATGGGCGGCTACAAGGAGAGCTTCAGCAGCATCATGTGCTTCGGCTGTCACGACGTCTACCAGCAGGCCAGCCTCGGCATGGACATCCACGCGTCAGACCTGAACCTCCTCACGCGGAGGAAGCTCAGCCGCCTGCTGGACCCGCCCGACCCCATGGGGAAGGACTGGTGCCTTCTCGCCATGAACTTGGGCCTCCCCGACCTGGTGGCAAAGTACAACACCAACAACGGGGCCCCCAAGGACTTCCTCCCCAGCCCGGTCCACGCCCTGCTGCGGGAATGGACCTCCTATCCCGAGAGCACGGTGGGCATCCTCATGTCCAAACTGAGGGAGCTGGGTCGCCGGGATGCAGCAGACTTCCTGCTGAAGGCATCCTCCGTGTTCAAAATCAACCTCGATGGCAATGGCCAGGAGGCCTATGCGTCAAGCTGCAACAGTGGCACCTCCTATAATTCCATTAGCTCGGTCGTGTCCCGGTGAGGGCAGCTTCTGGCTTGGGCAGGGTCTCTTTGGACTGCAGAGCGAGGGGGTGCGACCCATCCTTCCCGTTGGAGATGCCAAGGGCATTCCTTCCTACCCACATCCCCAGGGACCCCCGCCCCCAACTCCACCTGTTCCTCTGCCCCTGCTACCGCCCTGCCTCTCCACATTCCCTTGTCTGCGGATGGTCTTCCCAGGTTCAGAGCAGAACAGCTCCTTTACTTTGGCCATTCGAAAGAAAAGCTAGTGGAGCTCCTCTCAGTGTTTTGGACTCCATTTCTTGTCCTCCAATACCTTGCTTTTACTGGAATTTTACTGGAATTCCTAATTTTCGATGAAATTTTTTTAACTACCGTATTGATTATCCTTTAAAAACAGAAAAGCTCATATTTATCCAAAGTGTATATTTCTTATACTCTTTCCTTTGTTATACCATCTCCTCAGCTTATCTCTTTTATATTTATAGGAGAGACTCCCATGTATGGAATCCCACTGTATAATTTATAAACAGACAATATGTGAGTGCCTTTTGCAGAAGAGGGTGTGTTTGAAACCATCAGAGTCAGCCAGGAGCTGTCACCAAGGAAATGCTACCTCTCTGTCCCTTGCTGTATGCTGATCACCGCCAGAGGTGCTTCACCCTGAATTTTGTTGTTTTTTCTTCCCAGCAATGTCTGTGTTTTGTTTGGCAAGGAAAGGAGAGACATGAGTCTTCCTCCAGGGTGATTTCATTGGCAGTGTTGTTGCTATACGAAGACATGTTCATTTTGCTTTTGTTGGAACGTCAATGTGAATGTCCACACGAAACCTACAAGCTGTCAGGCTTCATCATTCCCGCTCATCTCAGGTAGAAGGTTGACACGGTTGTAGGGTGCGGAGACCTGTGTAAGAATTCAGAAGAGCCCTGACTCATCATTTGTGGCAGTCCGTTGTCATTGGTGCATAGCAGATGGTTTCCACATTTAGATCTTGCTTTGATAACTTCCTATAACTTGAAGTCTAAAACCAGAAAATAAAGGAGGCAAGTTTTCTTCAGTGATTTTAAATTGTAATAGAGTTTTAAACTGATGAGGGAACATGCCCTAATTCTTCTGTCCTGAGAAGCATGTAATGTTAATGTTATATCATATGTATGTATATATATATATATATGCACTATGTATATACATATATATTAATACCGGTATTTTTACTTAATCTATAAGATGTCGTAAAAAAGTTAAGTTTTTTCTTTTTCTTTTTTTAAATAAATAAACTGTTGCTCGTTGCATTACTTTTGTTAGACTTTAATTCAAAAGGATTTCTCTTTCTTTGTTGTGTTATCACTGCCATCATCCCACATGTCATAGGATAAACCCATCTGAAATCCAGAAAGTCATTAAGCCTAAGCCCTCAGGGTTGAAAAACAACCCATTTTTTTAGGTGCTTAATTATTACCAAAAGTAGGAATGGCACGGTAAAGTTAAAAGAGCCCAGATGAATTTCACATTTCTTCTTACTTTAAAGAAAAAGGACCCCTTTCATTTTCCTTGGGTGAACCAAAAAAAAAAAAAAAAAAACCAGATTGAATCTTTTCATCTTGTCAATGGGGAGCAGAAGAAGCTTTTCTGTTTCTATGCAAAAGTGACGAGGATGGTGCCATGAGGAAGAGGAAACCTGTAGCAGAAGATGCATACCTTTCTGCCCTTCTTTAAATTCAAACTACATTTGCAGTTCATTTTGCACCCAAACTGTCCACAGTAAACGTGATTCACTAACGAATAAAATTAACAACTACATATAGCAACACCCAGAAAGGATGACACTGAAATGGAATTTGTGGTTGCCTTAAGGAGTGGAACCTCCTTTTCTTGTCTTAAGTCCTTCCTCTAAGCGTTGGCCTCTTTCTCTCCTACTTGAAAAGAGTGCTTCATAGTGCAGGGATATAGCAGAGGGGGGCCGAAAACCAGAGGCAAGGCGTTTGCCTCTTGCGGTATCTGCATGTAAAATCCCAGAGGAGAACTCTGACTGGATCGGCTTGGGTCACCTAGCTATCCCTGTAAATCTCAATGGCGGGGGGATATACAGTTCCTAGCAGTGGCCTGGCCTCTGTGACCCTGTGTGGATGTTGGAGGAGGAAGAGTTCTCCCCAAGAAGGAGATTCTGTTAGCAGAATAAGGAGTGGGCAGGTAGGATGCTGGCAGACAAATGCCAAGTGTTGCAAGGGCCCTAATGCACCTGTTCATATGGTTATGGGGCCCCTGAACGCCTGACATTTTGCAGCATACTCAGGAATCTTTACAATCCATAGGTCAAGAGCTTGAGGATCACTGAGCTCACTGCTCCATCATGCAAAATGCCGTGGGAGACATTCCAGGGGGACGTTTGGGATCTTCTGTACCAGAAACTCTGGTCAGGCTGAAACTGTCTGGCAAAGGCGGCTCTACCCCCTGCAGGAGGGAGGAAACCAGACCAAGCTCACCTCCTGGGGCCATCGTGAGCATCAGAAGATGTAAGGTATTGGGAGCCAGAAGGAAAAGCCAATCTCGGACCTTTTCTCTACCAATTGCTGTGAAATGCACTCGGGCAACATGTTCCTCATCCCCCCGGGCTGTGTCATGGGTGTTCCTCAGCACCAAGTCCAATCTTGGGTCACCCTGGGGTGCCTGAGGTCTCCAGTATGGACAAAAGCATCCCAAGGACTCATACCTCTAGGGTGTAGGCTTGAGGGCCCTTGTGGGAGTTCCAGAGAGTCCCCAAATCTGGATTCACACACCTTCTGAAAAGGATCAGAACACTGGGCAGATTCTGGCAGTCTGTTTTGTATAAAGGGAGTCACAATGACAACTACAGGATGCACAGAAATCATGAGACTACATCTGGCCTTCGACGTCCAGAGTCCATACCAGTCTTACTGACCCCGGCTGAGCTGATCCCACAAAAGCCACTGCCAAGTACAGGGCCGCCTGGCTGTTCCTGCATAAACAGCTGCTGATGCCAGCCAGGCCGTGAAACCCAGAGGGCAGTCAGGACGCCTGAGCTCAGACGTGGGAGGCTTTCATTAAGGGTTAAAAGATGGTTTCAGTTTTGCAAGATAAAAGGGTTCTGGAGGTGAATTAGTCATGGTTGCACGGCAATGTGAGTGTATTTAGTGCCACTGATCTGTGCAGGTCAAGATGGTCAAAATGGTAAGTTTTATGTATCTTTTACAATTTTTTGAATAGAAGTTAAAAAGATAACACTGGAACCTAAGAAAGTCTGGTAACAAAAAGTTGGCAGAGTAATGTCAAGACCACCCACTGTATGGAGAGCAGCCCAGCAAAGCAGAGTCCCCCAAAAAGGGGACATAAAAAAAGTGAAAGATTGCTTTTTGAAAGAATTTGGGACTTGTTATTTCCAAGCAAACAAAAAACCTTTAACGAGGTCATCCTACAGGGGAAGAAGTGAGAGTTTTGTTTGCAGTTAATTATTTTCCCCAATGTGAATCCATGCATGGGATGGCGCCATAGTCTTTGCAGGACTTTGGATTCTTTAGGACTGAATCAGGCCACGCTTTTTAGGAGGAGTAGCGAGCTCCAATTCATCATTCCCCCGAGGGTCGCTGAGCACCCACGATGGTGCCAGTCCTATGTTGGCAACAGGGACACAGAGCCGAGTGCAGGCTGTGCCCTGGCTCAGCGACCAGGCCCAGGGCTCAACTCCACAGCTGCCTAAGGAATTTGCTGTCAGGGCTCAGAGACTGTAGCTGGGCTGTGGGTGGCAACGTGAGGGTGAGGTTAGACTTTGCCATTGCAACCAAAGTCACATGCTGATGAGAGGCTAAAGGTCCCAATCCTCCGCAGCTTCCAGACGTGGGCCCAGGAAAGGGACAGGCTTGTCTGCCCCAGCTGTATGCCCTGGCCAGAGAGAGTGGACCAGAGGGCGCCCCTGAAAGGTGGTTTTAAGTAGCAGTTAGCCCCCTTCCACCTCCACTGGGCAGAAAGGAATCCAGGAAACGCCCCAGGTCAGAGCTGCTAATGTCTTCCAGGAACCATTTGGCCAATTCTTGATCAGAAAGCAGTGAAGACTTGTGTGGGCATGGGGTGGGGGTGGGTGGGTGAAAAGGTCCTCAGGGTTCCTGGGTTATCCCTGGCACCATCACTCTCAGGTGCTAGGGCTAGGTGAAGGTGCCTGGGCTGTGCCTCCAGCCCTCGGAATCCCTTTAGGGTGCAGGGAAGGGGCTGAAGTGAGCTGTGGGTGGATGATACCACCTTTCCTACCGAAATCACAGAATGTCACTGTTAGGTCCAGAGAAGAGAGGGAGACACATAAGGCCCTATGTGTAGCAAAATGCTATTTATTTGGAGCATCTGGGTGCAGATGGGTGGAGGCCGCAGAAAGTGTCCACCAAGAGGGAGGGGAGAGCCTTGGGTTTTATAGACCGTTTTCCCAGGGCGAGTGAGCAACTGGGCCAGAGCAGCCACTGTAATAAATTATTTTTCAAACAACCAATTTCTGGGATCTCTATATGAGTCTCATCCTGCCAGTGACAACTAAAAAAGCATTCAAGATGGTTTGGTTCAACCACACTCTTTGGGGCTGGAAACAAAGACATTAAAAGATTTAGATGTAATCTCACAGTTGAATTATTAACAGTTCAGACTAAGTGTCAGGACATCTGACCATAACTGAGAGCCCTTTATACTGCTCTAAGTATTCATATTATACTGTGTTGTGTATGTGTGTGCACATGTGTGAATGCGTGTGTCATGAGTGTACATGTGTATACGTGTGTATTGCATGTGCATGCATGTACAGAAGTGTATGGGCACATGTGTGTGCCATGTGCACAGCTGTGTAACTGAGTTGATGTGTATATGTGCAATAGCTATGTGTGTGCACATGTATATGTCTGTATTGTGCATGTGTGTGTGCATATGTGTATGTGTGTGTATGTATGTGCATATATGTGTGGTATGGTGGAGATGTGGTAAGCAAGTCTCTGGACATAATAAGGGCTTGTTTTTCTAGCAGAGAACCGTGATTCTCGCTGACTCAGCTGTGAGTGTCCATTTCCCACAGTCGACATGACTAAACAGAGCTTCAGGAGGACTTCCTTCCGCCCTGCCCCTCCCCCTCGTGCCACCACTGGTTTCTGAGGCACCAGCCCCAGCGTCAGCCCCACAGAGTCCTGCAGAGCTGTCAGGTTGTGTCACAGCCAACCTGGATGACAATGGCTCTGTCTTCCAAGAAGGGAAGGCCAGTCATTTGAGAGTGTGGCCAGGGCTGCTTCCTCCAAGTCACGGGATTCTCTGACCCGAATTCACATGGAAGGAGAAAGCAGACACTGACGACTGAGGGGCCAGCCCCTGCCCCGGAGCTGGGAGTCCACAGCCGCTGCCCTCCCCCACCCGCCCTCCACGGCCACTGGCAGTGCCCTTGGCTTTCAGGCAATTTGAGGCAATGGAAGTTTTACTCCCTTTGGCTGCTTTATCGAGACATTTTAACATAGCTGAAGTCATAGAAGGGTTCAGTTTTTACTTTTGGATTAATTTGTCAGAGGGTGTGTGTGTGTGTGTGTGTACACGCAGCATGCCCCAAAAGTCTTTGTACAGTTTAAGCCTCACAAATTTCAGAAAATAAAGGCCATAAATTTACTCCATAGATCACTTGAAGTTTTAATTATATACATTTATTTTATTACTTCTTATAGTTTTGTGCATGTTGAATAGTGAATTATCGATTTTAATTATTGGAGTCAGCCCCTCTGATTGGAAACAGTAAAGGCTGACTAAAACAAAAAATTTGCTATTCAACATTCATAAAACTAAGTATAAAAGAACTTTAGCTTTTACATCTGGGTTAGTGTAAGACAAAACATTCTGTAGATAACATGGATTTGAGCATATGTGTGATCCTTAGAGTATTAAAAAAATGTTTGGGTACAAATATAAATTCCAGAGAGTATTTCAGACTTTGTGTGTCCAAGTGACGGGTCTGAACAGCAAGAGAGGACTCAGGTAATATCTCGATGGTGGATGAAACCAACAGAAAATTTCACTGGGGCACATGTATGATCTGAAGAAAGGGTGGAGTTGGAAAACAGGATGGCAGGGGAGGGCAGAGGGACCCAGAGGACCCAGGAGGGGCAGCAGGATCTGCTGGGCTGGTGGGGGGAGGGGCTGTGCCATATCCTCCTCCTCTTGTCCCCTCCCCACCCTCAGAAGCCCTCTGTGACTGCCCGTGCTCTGTGATGCAGGCCTGGGACCGCATATGTGGCAGCCCGGCACCCTCAGCTCTCAGTTGCTGCGGCAGCCCTGCTCTTCAGCCATGGAGAACATTCTGTATTTACTGAACAGCGACGCGGACCTATGGCAGAGCTTACGCGACACGGACCTATGGCAGAGCTTACGCTCGGCTGCTTTGAATTTAGACCCCCAGTTCACTTTTCTCAGTGGTTTGGGGCTACTATTCCTCTACCTAACGTACCTGGTGGTAGACTCCTTTTTATCAACCACCTGGGACATTCATGACAACCCAGAGGTAAGGAACACCCAGGAGAGATTCTTTGTTGTGGGTTCCCATCCCTAGTCCCGCATTGCTAAAGGAGTTTGGTCGCCTTACGGACTGATAGGACGTCACTCTTCTAGGGGCAGAGGTCAGGCAGGGCCAGGGGTTCAGGAGGACCAAGGTTTCCACCTGAGGCTCACAGGCTACCTGTCTGGGTGTGGCGGAGGGTTCCAGGACAAAACCCCAGCACAGTGACTTTGTGGTCCTGGGTTGGCGTCTTTAGAGCGTGTGGGTTCTCTGAAGGAGAACAGCTCTCCTGACACGTGAGCTGGAGTCACAGTCTCATGTCACATGTCACTCGACCACGCCTCCCTTCGTGTTGGGCTAATCAGGAGAGCAATGCCGAGAGCCTCTGAGCTCTGTCCCCAGGATACAGGGTCCCGCGAGGGCAGGTGTGACCGTCGTTGTGGGCGGACAGTGGGTGGCTGGGCTCCCTGGAGAAGAGGAGGAGAGAAGCCAGTCCCAGCCTCTCACTCTTTCCCTTTGTTCTCAGCCTCGGGACAGAGGGGAGATAAAAAGGCAAGGCGGGATGCGGAGAGGTAAGGTTCCCGTCTGCCCTGAGCTCTCAGGCGGGCTTTCCTGCTCCTTCTGTGATGTCCAGGCCCCTGGTCCCTGAGGGCGCCAGTTGCTGGACAGTCTCTCTGGGACAGCAGAGCCCTCAGAGTAGGCTCACGGGAGGCGGCGTGGCCCGGGACACTTCTCAGGTGCCTGCTCTGCCCTGGGTGGCACGAAGGAGGGACGGAGCTGGGGACGGTGCTGCCACAGGTGGCCGTGGAGGTGTGGAGGAGGGACTGCCGGGGTGGAGTCGGAACTCCTGTCTCCTGGCCGGGTGTGGCACTTTCACTTCCTGGGCGCAGCTTCCTCTCTGAGGCGACCACTGAGGTCTGTGCTTCGCGTGGTGGTTTTGAGCATCGTGTGGGATAGCGTGTGCGACAGTGCTTTGTGAATGAGGCCACATGCACACGTGAGCCTTGTTAATATTCCTGTTGGCCGTGTGACCTTGTCTGCTGACTTTCGGGCTACCAGAGTTTGCTATCCCAAGGGTCTGCCATAAAGGGACTCCTGTACGGTCCTTATGCGTCTGCCTTCCTCGCATGTCACCTCCTCTCCTGCTTTCCCAGGTAGGAGGAGAATTAGCCAGAGGGAAGCAGAGGAGGAAAGGAGGATGCTTACCATCCTCACCAGGTGACTAATCTTTCCCCTTCTAACCCGGTCCCTGTAGAAAGCATGTTCTAGGCGTCTCAGGGATTCAGTGTCCCCTGCCACAGTCATGGGAGGGGTGGCTGTGGGAATGGGCATGTGAACAAAGGCTGGGGCAGAGGCCGCAGAGTGTATTGTGAAGTCGTGGGTGGGGCAAGGTGAGGGGCAGCAGCTTCAGGTGGCCCCACCCCGGCTAGGCTAGCAGCCCCCTCTCCTTGTGCTGTCCTGGCTGCAGCTTTGTCCCTCCTGTCTTCTGCAGCTCCTTTGGTGAGGATGACGACATAATGAGTTTTCGTCGAGCTCTATGTCCGGACCCCTTCTGCGGCATGTGTATTAGGGCAACTAGTGACATCATGAACGTGCTGTTCCAGGGGACCCTGGAAGATCCTGCTCCATCCAGGTCACGTTCGGAGTCTGAAGTTTCCCCGACAGCATCGTCCTACAGTTTGTCCTCTAGCCCCTCGGCAAGCCCTCCCCGTCCGGGAGAACTGACACCTGCTTCTGTGCTCGAGCCTTCTCCACCTGCCGCCTCCATTCTCTTACCTGCCCTGGTGACCCCCTTACCTGCGTCCCTTTCTCCCACCCTCACCACTGGGTGACTCTGCCCCAGAGCCTCACCAGTCCCCACCCCAGCGCTTGCCTTTCCCTCTGCCACCACCTCAGAGCCCCCCGGGACCCCTCCAACTCCACGACTCCCTTCTGTGAACTGCTACAAAGAGCCCTGGCAGTCTCCTTCGAGCCAGTTGCTCTCACTGGGCAGAAGCTGTGTGTGTCCATGGCTTCCTGATTCAGTAAATTGTTAAGTATCCTTTGCTTAGTTTGGCCTCCACTGTTGAAATCAAAGAGTTTTGTCAACATCTCCTCTTTGGGCCTCAGTTTTTCCTGGAGAATCACAATGTTCCACATGTATCACGGAATGAAATTTTGACTGAGAATCTGCTATTTTTATAGAATCGATAATCTCTTAGAACTTCATTTCAAATATACTTTATGTATTCATGACATAAAGGAATTCTTATCTCTATGAAAACACTTCATGAATAAATGCCCATGCTTATCCCCCTGAGTTTACAATCTATCTGCCTATCTAATGATATTTTTTGGTGTGGAAATTGAGAGTAATGGGGAAAGTGTAAAGTCAGAAAGATTCTGGAAATAGGGACACTTCCTAATATTCTTTGCTGAGCAAAGGAAATAACTAATAAAAGTTTGATGTTCTAGGTGCATAGGGTTGAGATTGGGAGCAAAATCTTTTGGATTAGAATTATATGATATATAAATTCCTATATAGAACAATTAGTCCTATTTACAAATCAATGAATAGAATTTGCTCAAATATAGATTATATACATATCTATACACACACACACACACTTTTTAATGATTGAATTTGTTCTATTAAAGAGAATGCTTATTTTAGAAAAGGAGAAAATAAAAATTCATTAAGATTATTTAGCACCTATTATATATGAGTCATGCTCAAAATATAGCAGTGAACAAGACAGATGTATTTTTTTCCTCTCATGGAGATTAAATCTCAGTGGTGTAAAAAGAAAACAAAAGTAGCCATAGTCCAACCTCTCTGAAAGAATGTGGTCAATATTTCAGTCCATTTCCTTCCAGCATATGTTGGAGTGTGATGTGTGCATATGTAACACAGTTGGAATCATCCTCTGCCTGCAGTTTTGAATTCTCATTATTTCCTTTAGCTTTTTATGTTGAGTCTAACTGTAAGCCATTTAACATTCCTCAAAACATTATTTTTAATGGCCATTAATAATAAGTCACATTTATTAACTTTAAAATTTTTTTCATTACAACCCTATGAGGAGTAGTTTTGTCCATAAATATTTGTCTAGATCTTGACTATTTAATTAAGATACAGTCTTAGAAATGAAATGAATAGTTTAAGACAGGAACATATGAGTCTTCGAAATAAATATCAAAATTTTTTTCCAGAAAGAGTGTATTAGCTTCCTGCCAAAGATGGGCTAGAAAATCCTTATCTCATTTCACCTTTGCAATCATTAAGTATTTTTTTATTTCAGCATATTATGGGGGTACAAATGTTAAGGTTGCATGTGTTGCCTTCCCGCCCTTTCTCTCTCCTCCGATGTCAGAGCTTCAAGCGTGTCCATCCCCCAGACAGTGCGCATTGCACTCATTATGTATGTATATGCCCATCCCCTCCTCCCCCCTCCCATCTGCCTGATGCCCCCATAAATGTTATTCCTATATGTCCACTTAGGTGTTGATCAGTTAATACCAATTTGCTGGTGAGTACATGTGGTGCTTATTTTTCCATTCTTGGGATACTTCACTTAGTAGAATGGGTCCCAGCTCTATCCAGTAAAATACAAGAGGTCCTAGATCACCGTTGTTTTCTTATAGCTGAATAGTACTCCATGGTATACATATACCACATTTTATTAATCCACTCATGTATTGATGGGCACTTGGGTTGTTTCTACACCTTTGCAATTGTGAATTGTGTTGCTACAAACATTTGAGTGCAGGTGTCTTTTTTTGTAGAATGTCTTTTGTTATTTTGGGTAGATGCCCAGTAATGGGATTGCTAGATCAAATGGTGGATCCTACTTATATCACTTTAAGGTATCTCCATATTGCTTTCTACAGAGGTTGAACTAGTTTGCAGTCCCACCATCAATGTAGGAGTGTTCCTATCTCTCTGCATCCAAGCCAACATTTATTGTTTTGGGACTTTTTTATAAGGGCCATTCTCACTGGAGATAAGCGATATTTCATTGTGGTTTTGATTAGCATTTCCCTGGTGATTAGAGCTATTAAGCATTTTTTCCTATGTTTCTTGGCCATTATTCTTTCTTCTTTTGGAATGTTTCTGTTCATGTCCTTTGCCCACTTTTTGATAGAGTTGTTTGATTTTTCCGTGCTGATTTTCCTGAGTTCTAAATAGATTCTAGTTATCAGCCCTTTATCGAATGTGTAGCTTGCGAAAATTTTCTCCCGTTCTGTAGGTTGTCTGTTTGCTCTTGTAACAGTTTCTTTGGCTGTGCAAAAGCTTTTTAATTTGATCAGGTCCCATTTGTTTATTTTTTTGATGCTGTGATTGCCTTTGGGGTCTTCTTCATATATTCTTTGCCTAGGCCAATGTCTAGAAGAGTATTTCCAATGTTTTCCTCTAGAATTCTAATAGTTTCACACCTTAGGTTTAAGTCTGTTACCCAGCGTGAGTCGATTTTTGTGAGAGGTGAAAGGTGTGGATCCTGTTTCAGTCTTCTACATGTGGCTATCCAGTTTTCCCAGCACCATTTATTGAATAAGGATTCTTTTCCCCAGTGTATGTTTTTGTCTGCTTTGTCGAAGATTAGTTGGCTATATGACGATGGTTTTATATCTGGGTTCTCTGTTCTGTTCCACTGGTCAATGTCCCTGTTCTTGTGCGGTCCCAAGCTGTTTTAATTAATTTAGCCTTATAGTATAGTTTGAAGTCTGATAAATTGATACCTCCCATTTTGTTTTTATTGCCTAGTGTTGCTTTTGCTACAAAGGGTCATCTGTGGTTCCATACAAAGGGTAAAATTGTTTTTTCTATATCTGTGAAAAATAATGATGGTATTTTAATAGGGATTGCATTGACTCTGTAGATCACTTTGGGTAGTATAGACATTTTAACAATGTTGGTTCTGCTGACCCACAAACATAGTATGGTCTTCTACCTGTTTACATCCTCTGATATTTCCTTCCTCTGCAATCCTTAAGTATTGATGCATATTTCTTGCTATCGTTGTTTCATACTTCTGTTTTTTCAAAGGATGCCATTCTGTGGTACATCTTGTAATCGGTTATTTCAGATATATAGGAAATCAGTGGACATTTTCTGTGCAGTGCCCATTCTGCAGCAGTGGTCTTGGTTTTGGAGCAACAAACTCACAAAACACAATAGGCTTCACCCAACTGCAAGTTAATTTAGCATTAGGAATAGATATATAAGGAAAAAAAACAACAACAAAAATTCACAATGCTCAGTTGAATAAGTTAAGAAAAAACAAAAACAAAAAAAGGAATAGATACAGTTGGAGAATAAAATCAGGCATAACAGCATAGAATAGGTTTTTGTGACTTTCAGGCACGGATGTGAATTTCCCAGTTACTTCCCACTGTGAGTATGCGTGGTTGCGGGGGTGAAGCTGGGTGGATAGACCATCTCAATGTGGGGAATCCGTCAGCTCCGGGGGCTCTTCAAGTTTTACGTAGCTTCTCAAGTAGCCTCTTGTGGGATACAGAGAAGCTCCTCTTCTCCAGTGCAGCTGCATCTTATCACTATAGATTTCTCATTTCTTGATAAATGAGTTAAATAATTTCAATGATCAGGTACAAGTTCTTGGTCTACTACAAAGCTTTGGCTTGAAATTCTTATCTACCATGGAACCATTGTATATATACTCCTAACAATGCTTTGAGTTAGCTGTGGGCATCGGTGAAGCTAGAGGAAAGAAATCAGCTATTAACCCTTTCCTTTAGTCCTGTATCTAAAATTTTTATTAGGAATTCTTTGGAATTCTAAGACTTTATTATCTTGTGTATGTGTTTGTGTGTGTGTTGTAGGTAAATGGTTATGTCATATACTAATTATGAAGGAGGTTGTATATGTTAAGACTGTAGTCTTTGGAACCAGTTTGCCTAGGTGCAAACCCCAACTTCTCCCCTTATATAAGTTACCTGAATTCTCCCTGCCTTACCTGTAAATGAAAATAATAATAGCATGTACATCATTAGGACTAAATTAATTGATTCATGTAAGGCAATTAATTCCTGGCACCTAATAATGGTACTAAATAGTATTTTATATTCTTGCTACATCAAACTATGTTACAAATTTTGTCTCGACTCTCAAAAATAGTTTAGAAGACTCCAAAGGAAGAGGGAAGTCAACTATATTTACCAATATTTTGTTTAGTATATTTTTCTTTCTTCCGAATATGCCATGATTCCTACTTTTATCACTTGATATCTGTTTAGAGGACCTTCTTTAGCCATTTTTTTTAAAGGATAGATCTGCTGGCAGCAAGCTGTCTTAGTTTTCCTTCATCTGAGAATGTATTGATTTTCCTTTCATTCTTGAAAGATATTTTCACTGAAGATGAGATTCTGGTTTCAGAACTTTTATTTCAATATTTGCATCATGTTGTGCCACTCCTGTGTGGTCTCCATGGTTTCTGATGAGGAATCAACTGCCTTTGAATTGTTTTTCCTCTAAAGGAGTGACCTGTTTGGCACCAGGGACCAGTTACATGGAAGACACTTTTTCCATGGAGCAGGGTGGGGGGCAGTGGTTTGGGGATGAATCAAGTGCATTATATTTATTGTGCACTTTATTTGTATTACTATTACGTTTTTATATATAATGAAATAATTATACAACTCACCAAAATCCAGACTCTGATGCTGCCACTGATCTGAGAGGAGGTGGTGCTTGGGTGGGATGCAAGCGACGGGGAATGGCTGTAAATACAGATGAGGCTTCACTTGCTAACCTGTTACCTCCTGCTGGGTGGCCCAGCTCCTAGGTGGCCCGGTTCCTAATGTGCCATGGACCTGTACCAGTCTGTAGCCTGGGGGTTGGGGACCACAGCTCTTAAGGTAAGGTGTCATTTCTTTAGTTGCTTTGAATATTTTTTTCTTTGTCTTTAGCTTTGAGAAGTTTGACTGTAATTTGTCTTGATGTGGATTTCTTTTGATTTGCCCTGTTTGGATTTCACTCACCCTGTTGATTTTGTAAATTTGTCTTTTACCAAATTTGGGACTTTTTAGCTAACGTTTCCCCAAGTATTTTTT